CCTGGCATTGGGATCTATCCCAGGATCAGGATCTCTCCCTGGATCAGGGATCTGTCCCTGGCACTGGGATCTATCCCTGGCATTGGGATCTATCCCTGGCATTGGGATCTCTCCCTGGATCAGGGATCTCTCCCTGGATCAGGGATTTCTCCCTGGCATTGGGATCTGTCCCTGGATCAGGGATCTGTCGCTGGCACTGGGATCTCTCCCAGGATCAGTGATCTCTTCCTGGATCAGGGATCTCTCTCTGGCACTGGGATCCCTGCCTGGCACTGGGGTCTCTCCATGGCTGCCACAGCTCTGGAATTATCCAGCAGCCCCAGGAGCTCCCTCTCTCCGGGACTGGAATCTTTGGGAATCTCCAGGCCTGGAGGGAAGAGCTCCTCCTCCTTCAGGAACCTGAGGTGGGACCAAGGCAGGGGATGCAGGGGTTGTCACTGATGGGAAACTGAGCCTGGATTTGTGGGATGGAGCCTCTGGGCACACAGGACGGGAAGGAATGGGTCAGACCATGGGCAATCCACCCCAATATGCAGAAAAACCTCTGCTGGGGCCTCCCCAGAAGCTGAAATGTGGCTGTGGGGCTCCTGCCCAGCCAGCTCTGGGAAAATTCCGGACTAAAAGCCACTGGAATAGATCAGGGCTGTGGGATGAGATCTGGGATGGAAGAACAGCCACGTTTCTCCAGAGAAGAACCGAGGTGTGAGGGTGAAACTCCAGGGTCCTTCCCTCCTTCCCTCGGTGGCTCGGAGTGGCTGCCTGGAAGAGAGGTGGGACAAGGCTAAGAGAATATTAGTATTTCTTTCAGTATTTTAGCATTTCTTTTATTTTTATAGCATTTTTATTTTAGTATTTAATTGGGTATTTATGGGTATTTTTATTTTTATTTTAGTATTTATTTGGTATTGATGGGTATTTATTAAAGGCCTCCCACAGATACCCCTGGGGCACTCAGGAGCCTCCCAGGCTCCACCCGAGGTGGACGATGCTCACGGGTTTTTCAGACAATTATAAACTTGCTCCATTTGCATATCGGGGGTCAATCCCCCAATTACAGCTCCAGGTAATGAATTTATTAAAGTTTTAATAACTCATTTTGTTGATCCTTTGAGGGGCCTGGGGCTGTCAGGTGCCCTTGGGTTTGTTTTGTCTGAATAAAACGGGCCAACAGCAGCTGACAGGCCGTGGGTTCAGAGTTGGGGACTAGAGCAGCGCAGGACCTGAAAAATATAAAAGCTGAATCCTAAAGCATCGCCCTCCTTCCTTCCCTCCTTCCCTCCCGGGCTGGATCCTGCCACAGGCACGAGGCCATGAATATTGAAGTGCCAGAGGGGCTTTTATGGACTCCACAGATGTGCCGGGACTCGGGGCAGGCCCCAGCACCTCGGGCCGCTTGAAAAGGCCGAACAAAAGCCCGAAGAAAGAGGGCGAGGGGCGGAGGGGGCAGGGAGGCGAGGACCAGGAAAAAAAGTTGAAAGCAAAGAAAAGAGGGCCGGAGTTGATGGATATTCCATCTGTTTGTGCTCGGGGAATTCACAAAGGCTGCCGGGACGTGGCTCCCTGTTTGCCCTGCCTCCCTCCCGCTTCGGCTCGCGATGTTTGGGATGCGTTGGGTTTGCTCGGGAAGGAGCGGAAAGTTTTGGGGGTTTGGGATGTGTGTGGGGACTGGGCAGTGGGGCAGATCCTCAGGAACAGCCCCGTGGATCCCTGCAGGGAATCCCTGGGATCGGATCAGCCCCGTGGATCCCGCTATTCCCACACAGAGCCTCTGGGATGGGATCTGGGATTGAACCTGCCCTGTGGATTTCAGTATTCCCACAGGGAACCTCTGAGATCGGATCTGGGATCAGATTGGCCCCGTGGATTCCACTATTCCTACAGGGAACCTCTGGGATCGGATCTGGGATCAGATCCCCCCACCTCTGAAGGAGAACAAGTTTTGGGATATTCCCAGAGTTTTCTTAGGCTCCATGCATGGCGTTGGGGAAGAGCAGCTGGGTAGGGAAGGAATTCCGTCCCCTTTGTGGGTTTGGAAAAGCCCTCCTGGCCTTCGGCTCCCGACCAAGGCGCCCCCTCCCAGCCCCACCCACTGTGGGGGTGAGTGGGGTTCGTTCCACACCTCTCCTTCACCGGGAATTCAGGAATTCCAACCTTTCCAAGGAGAGATGGACAAGGGGGTTCTGGAGTTTGTGCTGGAAAGAACAAAACGGTGGCAGGACAATTCTGCACCTCCTTTTCCAACTCCCAATCCTGTTCCCTCCCCTGTCCCACTCCATCCCCAATCTCACTCCCAGTCCTGTTCCCTCCCCAATCCCTCTCCCTCCTCAATCCTGATCCCTCCCCAGTCCCGTTCTGTCCCCAATCCCAGTTTTTCCCATCAATCTTTCCCGGGATAAGATCCCGGAGGATCTGCCTGCCAGTCACCCTGCTGCTTCCCACCCTTCATCCTCCCCACCCAGAAAGGTGCTGCTGGAAATTTCTGTGCCTTCCCCTTTGCAGGCTGCCCGTGCTGAGCAAGGGTAAAACTCCACCAGGTCATTCCTGCCACAAAAATCCCGGGAAATTTGGGTCTCACCCTGCTCCTGCTGCTGGCAGCCATTGCCCACGCAAGGACGGGCTGGAAAAAATGAAGGGTTTGAGTTTGGGATGAATCCTGGGATTCTCCACATCTTTGGAAAACCAGTGGCACGGGAGCTTTGGGGAGAGTGAGGGAATGGATTATCCGCGATATTCCATCCGGATGGGAATGGGAATGTGGCGCTGCGAGAGCGGCAGGTGAGGGAGCTGTTCGTGGGGTGTGCTGGATGTGCCGGAGAACCCATCCCAGCTGGAAAACATTCCCTGTCCTTCCCCGCATCCCTGCCTGACAGCGGCAGCTGCTCCGGCTGGGAGCAGCTGGTCCCAGGAATTCCCTGGGAGTTTTCCCGCTCCCTCGGTTCCAGCTTTGAGGTCGGGTTCTTGGAGCCGGGCACTTGGCACCGGGAGCTGTTCCCAGCCCTTCCCGGCCCCCAGGGTCACCGGGGGTGGATCCCGCCAGCTCTGGCGTGGCTGGAAATTTGGGATAACGCCCAGCAGGAGCATTGGGAAGCTTAGGAATGGAGAGGTTTATCCTGATTTTGGTATTGATTATCTCGAGTCTTTTCATCCCGAAATCAGCACCACACTGTGGACAGAGGGTGACAACCTCTCCTCCTCTCCCAAAATCCCATGGACAAATCAGGGATCCTTCAGCAGGAGCTGGGGAAGGAGGTTTGGGGTGGTTCTCCCTTCCCAGGTGAAGCGAGGGAGGTGAAATTTGGCTCAAATCCTTTCCCGGGTGGTTTTCCCTGCACCTGGGGAGCTCCGGATCGCGGGAGCGGGATGGGAGGAGCAGCCGAGCTCATGAATGATGGAGCGGCTCCGGTGAGGAGCTTCAGGGAATTTGCTGGAGCTTTCCAGATGTGCCTTTGCTCCTCCAAGGCCCAGATGTGCAGGCTCCTACCTGCCCCGCATCATCTGGGGCCCAGATGTGCAGCCCTGCTGCTCTCAGGCACAGATGTTCCTTCTCCTGGAGACTCCAGACCTTCCCTGGAAGCGGGCAAATCCCAAAAATCTCCTTTTGAAACAAATTCTGGCTGCGCACAGAAGAACTTCGACATCTTTTAGGATTTTTTTTTTTAGGATCTTTAAAATGGGGGGCAGAGGGATGGTTCCAGAGAGAGCCATCAGGGAATTTCTCACTGATTTTGGAGGAGAAATTCAGGAATTAGCTTTGGATCTAAAAGCTGAACGCTTTTAAGGCATTTAATGGGAATGCCAGAGCCTGATGGAGGGAAAACCTCTCCAAAGGGTGTTTTTCCCCCCAAAACAACCCCTGGAGCAGAGCTTCCCCTGGCTCCAGCACCTTTTCCAAGATCCCACACCGCAACCTCCCCACAAGCCCCGGGACATAAATGGAATTTTGTTTGGAATGCAGAGGCTTTTTGTGGTGATCTCGGTACAAAGGAGGCGGCTCCGGGGGGATCCGCGCCTCCCACCCCTCAAACTCCCCGGCAGCTGTCGGGAGCCACAGCTGCAGCTCCCAGCGCTGCCAAGAAGAAAGGCAGATTTTTGGGTGATGATAATGTAGAAGCCGAACGAAAAAAGGGTGGAAAAAAAAAAATCGGCTGGAAAACACGGTTATAGACTTCAGGGAACTTTACGGTCAAGCTGAGCTTACGTAAGCCCTGCTTTAATCCTAAATTAGCAAAGGTTGGCCCGAAAGGGAAAGGACTTTGCTGCAAGCACGATTTGGTTCTGGCTCTCAGCGAGGCTGGGTGGTTCCTGTGGAAAACAACAGCCAGGCTCGGAAAGGGAAAAAAATCAATTAATCCAGTGAATCCCTTGTTTTCTTGGGAAAGAGGGAAAAGGTGGCAGGGCTGGAGCTGTCCCCAGCTCAAAAGTTTCCTGTGCCCTGTTGTCCCTTCTCTGCTGCCCTGGACTGAGGGGACATTTTTGTGGTGTGGCTGAGACCCTCCAAAATCAACATCAGCACCCCATAAAGCCCCACATGGAACACCTCTGGAATCTGGGATTGCTCCAGGAGAGCCAGCATTGGAGTCCCAGCTCCTCCAAAAGCTGCTGAGGACCTGGGGAATATCCATGTGGGGCCTTCTGCTGGATCTCTGGCCAAAACTGGGTTTATTTATTCCAGCTCTGCTCCTTTGGGTTCAGGAGAGCCCCAGGAGGCCACACCTGGTGCCGGGATCAAGGCAGGGAGAAATTCCTCCCTGGGAGGGTGGGGAGGCCCTGGAATGGATTTCCCAGAGAAGCCGTGGCTGCCCCTGGGACAGCGGGAGGTGTCCGTGTCTATGGCAGGGTGTGGCGCTGGATAAACTCCGAGGCCTTTCCAACCCAAACCGGAATATTCACAATTCCAAGCTTTATTCCGCTGACTTTTCCAGGCTCTCTAACCGTTCCAATATTTTTCCCGGTGGGACTGAACCTCCCCTCGCTGATCTCCCAATTCTCCCCCTCCGCAGGGAACCGCCTGGACGAGGGCTCGGACGTGGAGTCGGAGCCGGACCTGCCGCTGAAGCGGAAGCAGCGCCGGAGCCGCACCACGTTCACGGCGGAGCAACTGGAGGAGCTGGAGAAGGCCTTCGAGAGGACCCACTACCCCGACATCTACACCCGCGAGGAGCTGGCCCAGCGCACCAAGCTCACCGAGGCCCGCGTGCAGGTAAGGCCCGGCCTAACCATGTATGCCCCAGAATAACTGCTCGCAGCCCAGCCTAACCTTGTGCATCCCAGCCTAACCCAGCACTCCCCAGCCTAACCCCACACATTCCGGCCTAATTCTGCTCTCCCTGGCCTAACTGTGCACAGCCCAACCTAACCCTGCTCTCCCTGGCCTAACCCTGCACTCCCCAGCCTAACCCTGCATGTTCCGGCCCAACTGTGCACAGCCCAGCCTAACCCTGCTCTACCTGGCCTAATCTCACTCTCCCTGGCCTAACCCCGCTCTCCCTGACCTAACCCCGCTCTCCCTGGCCTAACCCTGCTCTCCCTGGCCTAACCCCGCTCTCCCTGCTCAGAGGAAAACCTTTGCACGGGGGTTCGGACAATCAAACAGATTCCAAAGCAGTTCTTTGTTGGAAGCTCCCACCTGGGCATGGACACACCCTGTCATGGGATTCCTCTGGTTTGATAAGGGTGATTAATTAGGATTTCAGACAGGTACAGCCAGTAGGGTGTTCAGTTGTCCCAGGAACTCACCCCACATCAGCCCCAAGGGATTCTTGGCCCCATTTCCTTCTCAGATGGTGGTTGGAAACCAAAATATCCTTCTCCTTGGAAATACAACCCAGCAGCATTTTGGGGATGTGTTAGAAGCTTAATTATTGTCCTAAAAATCTCGGAGAAAGTGTAGAAAAGCCACCAGGAGCTGCGTAACTCTGGGATGGTGTCCTAGAGAGCTAAAGGGTGGAAAAGCAAAGATCTTCAGGCATCACCTCCCATCGGAGAGGAGCTGGGAATGAGGCTGCTCCAAGGTGGGAGCCGAGGTCAAACCCCGCTCAGCCTCTCGGGCTCCGTGGGTGCCGTCCAACTCATCCACATTCCCACGGATTTCGAGAAGCCCTCGGGATTTGGCCCCTCCAGCAGTACCAGCTGCAGGCTTTGCATCCCCGCTGGGAGCAGGAGCCAAACTTTGGCATTTTCTCTTGGAGGCGATCCCTCTGTTTGCCTGGGAGGACTCGGTGTGTGTTTATTCCCGGCTGGAGCGATCCCACATTTCCCAGCTTTGCCCCGGGGAGCGGATCAGGTTTTGCAAAGTTTGCAAGTTCCGCGTGTGAATTTTCAGACGAGTTTTGGGTTGTTTTGTCGGGTTTCTTTTCCCCCTCCTTGGATCTCCGGAGAGCACAAGGATGGATGGGGGTGGAGGGCAGGAGAGGGGAGGAGCGGGAAGGGAGGGTTTGGAGCCGGGAATTCTGACATGGACACGATTAATGGCCCTGGCGGGAGCTGCACACAGAGCCCCCTTATGTGTCCCACATAAAGGCTGGGTCAGCAGCCTGTGCAAACAGCACCGGGATCAGCAGATCCCAGGATAATGGAATCCCTCGGGAAAGACCGGGAAGGGGGAGGGATTGAGGACTGGGAGGGTTACAGCAGTGAAATGGAGACCCCCGCTGTCCGTGCTCCCAGCAGGAATCCCGAGCACTGGGGGAAGCAGGGAAAGGGCTCTCCGGGCTCTCTCCAGCCGGAGAAACGCTCCTGGAATGAGCGTTTCCAAAGGAAACCAGGCTGGGATTGCCTGTGGGTGTCGACATGAGGATGAGCTCACCCAGGAACCACAACTGGGTTTTGGACTTTTCCTTTCTGATGTCTGGGAATGGGAGAGGCCCCACTCCTGGTTAAGGAATTTTCCCGAAGGATTGGGAATGGGGTTGGCCGATAGGGTTGGACAATAGGTGCTGTCACCTCCCTCCAGCTTCCTCCTGGGAAATCCTGGATTTCCTTGGAGCCATCATCCCTCTAGACTTGGCTGTAGAGACTGGAAAAGGAAATCCAGCAATACTTAGGCTGTTCTGGCTTTGGTCTTGGCCCAGGGAGCTCGGAAGTGTTGGTTCAGTGGCCATGGAGGATCAGGGATGTTTGGAGCCTGGGAAAGCGGCTCATGAAGGGAATGAAGCCACCGGGGTCGGAATGTGGTGAATTCCCCCAGTTTTGTTTTGGATGTTTTGCCCTAATTGCTCTTCCTCGTGTAGGTGGGCGCAAAGCTGGGGATGGAAAATGGATGTTCCCGTGGCAAAGAACGGGAAAAACCGGAATTTTGAGGGAGAGCAGAGTTTAGGGAACACTGTGGGGTGAGGGTTGCACGAGGGATGCTGAGGAGGAAGGGAAGAACCCCAAAATTCCAGTGAGAGCACGAACCTTTTCCAAGGATCTGGAGGTGGGGGAGGGAAAATAATTAATTGATTCATTAAAAAAATAACTTTTCCCTTGTCCCAAGCTGGGATCTCCCAATCCCTCCCTGCTCCCAGGCCCTCGGTGAGGAGGCTCCTGCCAGGGCTGTGCAGCAGCTGCTCTCCGAGGCACATTCCTGCTGCCTTTCTCATTCCGGCAGCCTGGCACGGGCGGCTTCTTCCCACCGCCTGGGAGGCTGCCGGCCCTTGGCAGATGTTCTGGATCTCGGGGCGGATCTCCCGCTGGCTCTCGGGGTCTGCAAACATCGCTCAGGCAAGATCCGGGGCAAAAAAGAAATTTAAAACAATAAAAAAATAACCCCACACAGACATAAATCCACACGGACACGTCCAGCAGGGAATCTTCCCCCACCTCGGGGGCTCTCTTTGGTCTTGACTGAGATTTTAAGCCAAGAGTTGAGTTTTGGGTTAAAAATGGCTCCAAAGCAGCAAGGCCAGCTCAGAGCAGGGGTTCTGGGGGTGTTCACACAGCATGGAGGGACAGGGCACAGGGAATGGCTCGAAACGAAAAGAGGAACAGTTTAGGTGGGATATCTGGGAGAAATTCCTCCCTGTGAGGATGGGGAGTGCCCAAGGCCAGGCTGGACGGGGCTGGGAGAAGCCTGGGAAAGCGGGACTGTCCCTGGCACTGGGTGGGCTTTGAGGTCCCTCCAACCCAAACCACCCTGGGATTCATTCCGTGATTCATTCCCATTCCATGATTCATTCCATGATTCCAGGAAGGGCCTCACCAACACCTGCCCATCCTCCTCATCCCTGAGCTCCACGTGTGGGGTGGGGGCAGAGGTGAGTCCCAAAAGTGGGACTGGAGAGCAGCTGCCCCACATCTGGTCCTAACTCCACTCATCCCCTGGATCGCAGTTCACGGGTGGCTTTCTTCCTGCGTCCAATTCCTGTTCCTGTTCCTATTCCTATTCCTATTCCTATTCCTATTCCTATTCCTATTCCTACTCCTATTCCTATTCCTTTTCCTGTTCCTGTTCCTGTTCCTGCACCTCATTCCTGTTCCTGCATCCAATTCCTATTCCTGTTCCTATTCTTATTCCTGTATCCTATTCCTTTTCCTTTTCCTATTCCTATTCCTATTCCTATTCCTATTCCTATTCCTATTCCTATTCCTATTCCTGCTCCTCTTCTTCTTCCTCCCTCTACTCCTATTCCTGTTGCTCTTCCTGCATCTCCTCCCGTGCTGGAATCCCCCTTTCCATACTCCCTGGCCATGTCCAGGGGGATTTTTCCCTCTCTCCGAGCTCCTCCAGGCGACCCCCTCTGAGTGCTGCTCCCTCTCCCCCATCCCTGCTCCCATTCCATGCCCTCCTCCCTGTGGGAAGCTGCGGGCTCTGGCAGCCCTTCCCGGCAGGGCTGGAGCCCGGCTGGGCGCGCAGCTGTCGGGATAACTGGAATTTTGACGCGTTGACAGCTCGCAAACCCCACGAGCCGAGCGAGCAGACGGGGCCGGGGGCGGCCGCTCGCGGCTCCGGTTTCTTGGCACATCCCGGGAGGCCGAGCGGGGTTTTGGAGGGGTCACGGCGGTGTTTGGCTGTTTGGGATGCAGATTCCAGCTCAGGCTTCCAGAGGGATGAGCTGTTAACAGGTTAATCCCAGACTGAGCAGAGCCAGGGATGAGCCCGCGCCTGGATTTCCGCGGAATTGGGATGGCGGTGGAAATTCCGGGGATTTGTCCTTGCGCGAGGCGATGTCCAGACCCATGACCTGGTCTGAAGGAATTCTCGCCCATCTGCGAGCTCCTCTTCCCACCTTCCCAGAAAACAACCCCTGAATGTCCCAACAGGAATTCACTCCGTTAATTCAGCGGGAGCTTTGATTTTGAACTTGGATATTTTCTGGGATTTTCCACCCGTTTTTGTAATTATCTCATGGATGATGTCAAAGTTTTGATGTGGGGGAAAAAATCCAAAAAACTTTAAAGGGATTCTGTGACTACTTTGAAGCTTTTCTCCCTGGCATTCCTGGTGGAGGGACGTTTTCCCAGCACAATCCATTTTCCATAAAAAATGGGGAATTTGTGGGGTGGTTTCCAGCAGGAAAATCCTTTTTCCAGGAGATTCTTCCGTAGGTGTAGAAATGACCTCTCCCAGGCGATGCTGCTGTCACAAAAGCCACCAGGGCCAGCAGCCACGGGGCTGGAATGAATCCTTGGAAAATCCCAGCTGTGGACTGTTTCTCCCAAAGCTGTTCCATTTTTTAGGGCAGGTGACCAACAACCTTCATTGCTTATTCCCGTTATTTCACCAGCAGGAAGAAATGGAAAGTGAAACAAAACTGTCCAAATCATCCACTTTCAACTTGGAAATTTCTCCACTGGGAATGTTTTCCACAAATATTCCCTGGTGCAGAGGTTCTCCTGGTGTTTTCTCCTGGAGCTGAGATTGAGCCAGTGATTGGAGACTCCGAAATTTTACAGTCAAAAATCAGACAAGATTTCCCCCCAAAAAACCCCAGCGGGTGTTTTTGGCTCCTCAGCATCACCTGGAGGTGACCCAGGTGGGCACAGCTGGGCATGGGATCCAGGTTTGGAGGATACTGGAGGTGGGAACACTGAGAGCCGATTTTTGATGGCGATTCCCAGGAAATTCCAGGCACTGAGGATCTCTAATTCCAACCCCAGCCCAGTTCCTGGCTGTGAGGTGGGGAGGTCCTGGGAGAGAAGCTGGAGCTGTCCCCGGATCCCTGGAAGGGCAGGTTGGAGCACCCCTCCATCCCATCCCATCCCATCCCATCCCATGGATCC